AAGTCCACAATACCGAGGAAGGCAGTGGCTGGAAGGGAAGGGACATGGAGAAAGTCACCTAGAGAGCTGCACTGGAAAGGCTGAAGCCCAGGGACCTGCTATGGCCTGAATGCTGTGTCCCCCAAAATCCCTATTTAGAAACCTAAACCCCGAGGTGACAGTGTTACAGGAGGGGGCCGATGTGAACAGATTAATGCCCTTGTAAGAGCAGCCCAGAGAGCTGTCTTTCCAGTCTGTCATGTGAGGACACCTATAAAACGCCACTGATGAGGACCAGGCCCAACCAGACAGCAAATCTGCCTCCATAACCGTGAGTGACACGTTTCTGTTACTTATGAGTTAACAGCTAAGGTGTTATGTAACAGCCACCCAGATAGGCTCAGAGAGGCACCCTGGAGAGAAAAAAAAAGGGAATGGGATGAAGGTGAGAAAAGTAAGAGTCTGGAGGACACTAGTGATGATGGTGGTGACTGGTGGTGATGGTGGTGGATGAGGGGAAGATCATGGTGATGGTGGTGACGGTAGTGATGAGGGTGGTCATGGTGATGGTGATGGTAATGGTGGTGGTGGTGGAAATGGTGTTCGTGATGGTGATGGTGGAGGTGATGGTGGTCATGGAGATGGTAGTCATGGTGATGGTGATGGCGGTGGTCATGGTTGTGGTGGTGACAGTGATGGTGGTTGTGGAGATGATGGTGGTGATGGTGGTGGTGGTGATGGTGATGGTGGTCGTGGTGGTCATGGAGATGGTAGTCATGGTGATGGTGATGGTGGTGGTCATGGTTGTGGTGGTGACAGTGATGGTGGTGGTGATGATGGTGGTCATGGTGATGGTGGTGATGGTCATGGTGATGGTGGTGATGGTGGTGATGGTGGTCGTGGTGGTTGTGATGATGGTGGTGATGGTCATGGTGATGGTGGTGATGGTGGTGATGGTGGTCATGGAGATGGTAGTCATGGTGATGGTGATGGTGGTGGTCATGGTTGTGGTGGTGACAGTGATGGTGGTGGTGGAGATGATGGTGGTCATGGTGGTCATGGTGATGGTGGTGGTGGTGGTCATGGTGGTGGTGGAGATGATGGTGGTGATGGTGATGGTGGTGGTGGTGGTGGTGATGGTGGTCGTGGTGGTCATGGTGATGGTGGTGGTGGTGGTCATGTTGGTGGTGGAGATGATGGTGGTGATGGTCACGGTGGAGATGGTGTTTGTGATGGTGAGGATGGTGGTGGTGGAGGTGATGGATGGGGTGATAATTGTGGTGATGGTGTTGATGATGGTTGTGGTGGTGACAGTGACTGGAGGTGATGGTGATCTGACAGTGTTGAGATGGTGACAATACGGCAGCCATAATAGTTATCATGTACCTGATTCACGGCAGGCCCTGTGATTTTCCTGCATCGTCTCATGTAACCCTCTCCAGAACCAGTGTGGTAGAAATGACCGTCATCCCCATCCTCAGGAGACTAAGCTCAGGACTGAGAGATGCCTTACCTAACATCACCAGCTAATAGGTGGCAGAACCGGAATCCAGGCCCAAGTCTGCTGGGCTCCAGATTCTGTATATCCTTAGCAATGACTACGGGTCAACAGGGAGAAAGCAGTGACACCAGTGGGAGCCTGATTTCTGCCCTGGTCACTGTGACAACCAGCCCCCATTCCCTCGCAAGAGTGCGCTACTAAAGGCGCTTAGCCAGCTGCACTTTCCCTTTCACCCCCAGAACTCGTTCTGAGGTGTGATACAGTGCGTGTGCTGAGCACGATGCCCACCCACTGCCCGTCTCCCCCACGGGGACACAGGTAACTGCACTTCCAGAGGGCGCACACCGCACAACAGGCGTCCAGCACATTTTGTCCAGCACAATGAGATGATGAATCAGAGTGAATACACTAAGGAAAGTCTCCGGTACCCCGGCTTTGGGATCCCTTGAGTTTGCTGAATGGATGGATGATGATCGTTCTTTGGTTTCAGGGTAAAGCTGATCTAACAAACATGAAAAGAGAACACAGAGCTAAGCTTCCTTACCTTTGGGGCTCACTGGCACTGATGAAGAAAGACAGCCCCCAAACCTAAGGAAAAGCTAAGGTTGGCACTGACATCGCTAGATTCCATCCCGAGGTGGGGAGGACTCTTGATCCAGCATACGGCTGTCTCGCCTCCACGAGTTCCTCGGTAAAACTTGTATCCTTCTGTCCTTTAACAAACATACATTGGCAGAATTTAAAATTTCTGATTTTATCTCTGCAAAAAATTCCAGCACACAAGAAAATTTCTTTGGAGTAACACTTTCAGTTAATGTGAAAGGCAGGAAATGATGGGACCATCCAGCTCCTGAGATGGTTGGAAACACCCAGGCGCCAATTTCAATTTGTGAGGCAGAGAGGAGAAAGACACAGGGAGGATTCTTGGGAGATGGCTCGCTGCTTCCCCCTGGTGGAGATCAGCCGCAAGTGCATCCCGCAGCTTTCCAGCGCTTCCTTTAATGAATTAACAGCGGGGTGAGGGACTGGAAACCCAAGGTGAAGACAAACGACATAGAGGGCTCACAGGGCGGTCGCAGTCAGACGAGGCAGGCAGGCAGGGAAACTCATAGCCACAAAAGGCACGGCCAGGTAGTGACGGAAGTATTCATTCATCCAGCAAGGGATGCAGGTCGGGAGGCAGTAGCGTGCCTGGTGAGCAGAAACCAAGGAGACCAGGGGGAATGTGCAGAGGCAAGGCCGGCACATGATGTGTGAGGGCTCGGCGGTGTAGACCGTGAGGGTTACAGGACATATGTGGCAGTGCTTTGCAGTCCTTGCCAAAGATTGGGTACTTAAAGCTGCTGTGAGTTTTCACGAGCCGGGGCAGGAGGAAGAGCTATTTATTCAAAAATATTTATTGAACTGGGGGTGGTGATACACCGCTTAATCCCAGCCACTCAGGAGGCTGAAGCAGGAGGATTGCACGTTGGAGGCCACCTTGGGCAACTCGGTGAGACCCTGTCTCCTGATAAAATCTTTTTTAAAAAATTATCAAACTCTTACTATCCATTAAATGTTGACTTGCCCAGGAATAAAGCAGCGAACAGAAACAGGTACCATCCCAACCTCTTGCAGCTCCCAGCCTAGTGCAGGACACGGGAGCAGGGTGGGGACACAGCAGCATGAACTTGCTGGAAAGCAGAAAGCTGGAGATCTGCTCGCGTCTGGCTGCATGACCCCTCCTGTTAACCTGGGTCATGGGACCGCCACAGCTGTAGCCACAGAGAGCCCCGCTCGGGACGGGAATAGCACGGGAACAACCTCTGTCCGAAACCAGGAGACAGCTGAAGACAGGCCCCTGGCATTCAAGCACTAACAATGAGAAAGAAGGGAGAAATCTCCCTGCCGCTTCTGGCCGCAGGGAGAGTGGGCTCTGTCCAGGCTGAGAGGCGCTGGGTGAGAACGGGGTGGTTCTGCCTCCCCCGGAACTTGGAAATATCCAGGGACACTGCTTTTGTCACGACTGGGAGTAGGGGCGGCACTGATGTCTATCTATGGGCAGAGGCGGGGACGGACCGTCCCTGTGTGCTGCCTGCAGCCCGGTTCTAGATCTGCTAGCAAGAAAGTCAACAACGGCCATGTGTGAGGGATCTGGGCTGCACACATTCTACTTGGCTCCCCGCTGGCTGTTCTGCCCTACTGTTCCCTAGTGGTCCCCAGGAGATCCTAGTGGAGGTCGCCTGTGGGATCCGAGAGGACCACCTGTGAGGAGTCAGCATCTGCGGGGCTCTGCCAGCCTTGGCTCAACAGTGCCACCTTGTGGTGAGAACCGAGAGGGCTGTACAACACTTTTCTCAACGAGGGAATTGGCCACTTGGTCACTTGGTCGCCCAGGAACTAAACAGCCCCCTCTTTGTGGAAAAAAAGAAAAGAAAATCATGAAGCTACAGGGATGTAGGAAGCCTGAAAATAAGGAGGTCTGATATTATGTTAACGAAGACAGATGGGTGTTTGAATAATTCATTGCAAAGATCCAGGAGAGATGACAATATATTTGGACCTAAATTGGTAAGTCACAGAGCTTACATTTTAAAAAAAGTTTCAAAATAACACGTGTAGCTAAACTTAATTCTACTGTTAAAAAAGTAGACATATACCTATTTGTCTGGAAGAATTACACCGAACTCATACCATGGGGCTTTGGGAGTCATAGTCTGATATACGCTATAATGAATGAATAACACAGAGGTGACCAAAATACACACTGGCTCAATAAAAAACGTATCGCAGTAAAGGACATATTTCCACGGGTCCGCTTCAGAACACTCGCCCTCCCTTGCATCACTGTTGCCACTTTCTGAAGCATTCTGGAGGCCTCTTTCCTCAGCGTCTTTATGAGGCGGGATCAAAAATGCAGTGACTGCCGCCGCCGAGGGCCATCCCATGGGAAGGCAGGCTGGCTCATAAAAACATTCCTCTGTGTCCTCACCCACCTCATTCACCAGATCCGGCCCCGGGGGACTTCTGGCTCTTCCTGAAAATCAGGATGGCCAGGAAAGGGAAACATTTTGAATGGATTCAGGACATCGAGTCGCCATGACAGTGTAACTAAGACACATGAAAGAGGCCCCCAGAGCAGATGGAGAAAGTGGCCAATGAATGAGATGGTTGTGTTTCAAGCAAGGGAGAAAATGTTGGGGGGGGGGGTTAACAGCAATGTGTGCTGTACTTGAATAATTTTTTTAATTTACGCATTCACCACAGTTTTTTGAGAACACCTTCATATTTATGTAAGAAAATAAGAAGCTAACCAGTGACCTGGAATGCAAAGACCCTGGTCCTCTACACACAACCTGTATTTCCAGATCTGGACTGTAATTATCCAGAACCAATCGTCCATGGGCCTCGGCAGGTTGACCCAGGGCTGAGTTCAAACCCAAGAATGCCTTCCAGCCTCCAAACCCCAGGCCCGCACACGGGACACTGCGAAACGTGGTACATGCACTGGGGACGGGCTCCACGCCCCTGGCCGGCTCACCTGACATATGCACATTCCTGAGGCAGGAGAGGGAGGCATTGAGGCGGGCACACTCCTCCTGGTTGGCTCCGTACTTCTCCACCGTCTCACAAACCTGCTCATCCGTCATCTCCAGGAGGTCCTCCAGGCTCAGCTGCCCTGGGGAGATTTCCTAGGGGAGGCCACAGAAAATTATCAACCAGGCTGCAACTGCCTCCACACTGCCCCCTGGCGGCACCTAGCGGAGGACACACACAGCTGTGCAAATGCCCTGTACTATAAGGGTTCGGTCTGGGACCTGGGGTCAGGTAGGCCTGGGTTCGAATCTCAGGGTTGCCACTCATTCATTCATGGCCTCAGTCAAATCGCCTAACCTCTCTGAGCCTTCCTTTTCTCACTGATAAGAGGGAGATCCTACACATGCAGACTTGGTAATGTCTCGCGGAAGCTGATTGCATCATAAGCACCCCTCGTGTGCCCGGGCTAATTTTCTGTGTCTCCATCCAGCTTCTGAGCTCCTTAGGAGGCGGGGCCCCAGCGATGGAGCCCCGGAGCTCCTGCTAGGCTCGGACTACAGAAACCCATGTAAATTAGTCCCAGCATGAAAACATTCGAGATGGCCAGACAGCTCCAGTCCCCACTGGCTGCCCTCCACTTTCAGGCCCCTCTTGTCCGGGCCACAAGGCCAAGGGTTCTCATCCACAGGAGCCCATGGGGGGAGGGGGCTGGAAATCCATGGGCGACTCAGCGCTGGGAATGGGACCGGAGCTGTGTGCGCACGCCCTGTGTGGCATGGCTTTGCATCCTAAGACCACCTGGCGAGGCTGGAGGATCGTGCGGGGTGGAAAAGGGGTGCCTCTGAGAAGGTGGGCCAGACTCACCGAGGCTAATGCGTCTCCCTAGTATGGGTACACCTCAAACTTTGTGGAACTTCTCTATTTACCTATCTGTAAATATATGTACTACATATACGCATATATTATGAGCCTTCGTTTATAGCATTTAACGGTAGCCATCGTTTTTACACAAGTAATATTTAAATAAGGTTTTCCAACGTTTCGATGGCGCTGTCTAGGGCAATATCATGAGCTCTTTCTGCCCTCTGGTGGTCATACCTTGTATTGCAACAAAATTCAGCTTCTCACCATTAAACTCAACTAGAAATGGCAAAATCTACAACCCATAAATTCTATCAAAAATCAAATAAGCGAAGGGCCGGGGATTTAGCTCAGCGGTTCAGTGGCCTGTCTCGCAAGAGCAAGGACCTGAGTTCAATCCCCGGTACCACAAAAATAAATAAGCGAGCTGGAGGGCAAAAGCCAAAGCTCAGTCCGTGCACTTGGTCAGGGGCCAGAAAAAGAACAGCAATCGGGTCTCCTGAGGCTTCCTCCAACTAGGATATGTTGCAGGCGAAGCCACTGTAACAAAGGCGACAACGCCCGGGTCTGAAGGTACAGCACGAGTCACACCGAGAGGAGGTCGTGCACGACATAAGAGGATCTTCTCCTCTCTACCTTAGGACGCGTGCATTTTAATACTTCCATTTCAAACTATGTACAATGAAACTTACTATCACAAAAAATGTAAAAGTACCTTTTTATGGCACTAAACGTGGAGAAAGCCTTTCCAAACCTGGGCAAGAGAGCAGACGTGGGCGTGTGTGATGAAACAACTTCAGCCGAGGTGAAGCAGCATTGTGTTAAGTGCTTTCATGGTTTTTCTTTATATGTTACAGAGATCACGTGGCGATGGTACTTTTCTCACCACTTAAAGACCAGGACACTAAAACAGAGAGGTGAGGCCACTTGCAAAAGGCTACCCAGGGAGCAAGTGGTGAACCCAGCCTACCCTCTTCCGAGCTGTCTCTGAGTGACCGGTTCCTTAGAAGGAGGACCTCTGGTGGACATAACGCTGAACTGCAGGCAGAGAGTGGAAACCAGCTCTGCACCCTCTCACGCGCGTGGCCTTAGACTCAGATGTCACAGACCAAGGTAACAGCAAACACTCAGTTTCCAGCATTCCGGGTAAATGCAAATAAGCGGGAGCTTTGGGGGCCCAAAGGGGCAAGAGATTCACGTCAGTTTATCCACTAGCCAAGGACTCTGTACAATTAGCAACTCTGTCTTTGAAGCCAGAGATTTTAGCTGTGTGGTTTGGTTTGGTTTGGTTTGGTCTCTGCAGAGCTAAGGGTGGAACTCAGGGCTTCACTCATGCTAAGCACATGTTCTACCCCTGAGCTACACTTCCGGCTTTTTAGGCCAAAAAGAGCTAGGCAGGATCAGGCATCATTCCTGCCCTTGAAAACAAGATTTAAAACAGATGAAAGGTTTCTTCAAGCAGGAATCAAGGAGCCCCGGAAGCAAGCTCCTGGTCCCACAGGCATAAGGAAACCTCTTCTGCCCAGCTCAGGGAGCTGCCAGCTGCAGGAAAATGAGCAGAAAGCCTGAGGCTATGGCCTCCATCCAGGCTGGGCGTTCCTGCCTACTCAGGTCACGCCAGGTACAGGTCACGTCATCCCTGAGCCTGTGTTAGCATTCTGCAGAACAGGGAGAATAGTCCTACCCACGCAGGAGGTCACTGAGAGGAGTATGAATAGTCTCAACAGTTGAGATCCTTCCTGCAAAGACCTCAGATCAATGCCTGGCACCAAAGACTCCATGACATGAGCTGAGCTGGCATCCGTAGCAGAGGTTTGGCTCCAGCTCCCGGGATCCAAGAGGGCAAGGAAACCTCACAATTCTTGTGACCGTAAGGATACAGTCCAACCTTGAGGGTGGACAGAAAGGATCAAGAGTGGCAGCCAAAGGCCCGGGGATTCAGCTCAGCGGTTCGGTGGCCTGCCTTGCAAGCGCAAGGACCTGAGTTTAATCCCTGGTACCAAAAAAAAAAAAAAAAAAAAAAAAAAAAAAGCACGCA